TCACTGTCAGAGCAAGACGACAGGGGGACCAGCTGCCTGGGGAGGTGGGGGGCTCTCCCACACTGGAGGCATTCAAGGCGAAACTGGGCAGCCACCTGAGCGGGATGGTGACTTGGTGTCTGGCACTGAGCAGGGGGTTGGACCTGATGGTCTTCATGCCCCGCTCCAGCTCTACTATTCTACAATATATCAGACCTGACTAAGGACCCACTACTGCGGAGTGTGGCCAATGATCCGCTGGGTAAGTCAGGATATGCCTGTACTTAGATTGCTCACCATGCCCAAAGTCAGGAACCAACAATTGATTTTAGATGTTTGAAATTGTATTGATTTTTTGGTAATGTTATGGTTGTCACTCTCACCTTGTCATGTTTTAGAATGGTCCTGCTAAAGAAGAAGAAGAAGAAGAAGAAGAAGAAGAAGAAGAAGAAGAAGAAGAATAAAAGTTATTTATACTTTGATGGTGGCCTTTCATGTTTTGTGGTATATTTCTAATTTTTGTCTGTTGTATGCCACCTAGAGAGTCTTTTGAACTATGTGGCCGCTTATAGATATAGAAATAAATACATGAATTCCTTCTCAGAGGCCAGCAAGCCAGGCCTACTTCGCCCTGCAACATGCCTCCTAGCTGGCTCAGCTCCCCGTAGCGGCACAGGAGGCTGCTTCGTAGTGAGTCAGATCCCGGGTCCACCCAGCCCGTACGGCCAAGGCTGCCCAGAAGCCGTTCTCCAGGGCTTCGGGCAGAGTTCCTTTCCCACCCTGCCTGCAGAGGCTGGGGCCTTCGGCACGCCGGACGCGCGTTCTGCCATGCAGCTACAGCCCCTGCCCGCTTTATGTGCCGCATGCCTGCAATGCAGCTTTGTCCGAGGTGCACTTTTTCAACTGCACGTGTGTATTTTGAGCTGCCGTGAGCAAGCCGGATCATCGTTTAGAGTCCCTTCCTGTTTTAAGGCGTGACCGTGGCACCACCTCATTGCCATCCCCACACACGTGAACAGCGTCCCAGCCTGCGTATCCCAACAAGCGGGGGAAAGGTGACATTCAGCCAGGTGTGCTGCTGCCACCTGGCTCCCAGGGGTGCTTCCTCCCTCCACAGTGGCCACGAGAAAGGCAGCCAAGGAAACAACTTGTCCAGAAAGGACGGAGGAAGAGGAGCTGCAGAAGAGAAGGAAGAAAAGAGGAGCAAGCCAGTCCAGAAGGACGACAGTTGCAGTACAAACCTGAACTCACATTATGTATTCCCATGAATAGGAGCGACTGAATGCAACATCACCATCACCTTTCCAGTTCCCTCCTCCCTTTCCATGCACTTCCTTATTTTTTAAGATTGTGAGCTTGAGGACAGGACTACCGGATAAACCTTTTGACTTCTGAAGAAAGACAAATGCTTTGAAAAATTAAAAAAAAAAAAAAAAACCAAAAACAAAGCAAGGGCCCCTCGCAATCCTTCCTCCACCCTAATGAAACGCCATTGACATTGTTAATTCCCAGCTGAGATTGCTCTGCTCTGTGGAAGTACAGTGTTCTCAAAGCCAGAGACAGAGGTCCACCAGCAGCAGCCCAGCTGTGGGTGGCCACCAGTCCAGGCCCCTCCCTGGGTTTTCTGGCCTGCACAGAGAGCTTTGGGAAGAGGCAATGCCCTCTCTCATTTGTGCAAGCAAGAAATGGCAGGAGCACCTCCTCCTGCTTGTAAGTGAGTCCTGCTGATTCTCCCCCACTCAAAAACTGCAGCGGAGGGGAGAGCTCTAGGTTAGGCACCTGCATGGCATTGGCTGCCTTGCTTTGTGCGTTTGGACCTGTGGACACCTGGAGAGAGTATCGCCACACACATATGGAAGCCCAGCCTCCCTTTTGACAACACAAGAAGACATTAGTTGCTGGGCAGATTAGACAGGAAATAAATAAACCAAAAGCTCTGGGTCTTGAATTCAACACTGATTTGAAAACAGCAGTCAGAGTACCAGCTGCAAGTTCCCACCAAGCCTCAATACCGCACTTGCAAGCAAAGGGAAGTGCTTCATTATTAAACTTTTGAACTGTAAGAAGCAGGACAGGAAAAATAAAGGTGAAAGTAGCGGAAATGTTCCTCTACTCAAACCGGCCTCCAATGGCACGCAGCCAAGGTGCTGGTAAGACATTAATCCCAGCGCACAAAGACTGCTCATGCTTATAAAGCAGTAGAACTAGCTACTGGGGTGGCGAAGCAGACCAATTCTCCAGCAGAGGGCAGTAATAATTAAACCATTCTGTTTCAGTGGTTCTTAAGAACTCCTTAATAGAGAATTATTTGGGAAATAGAAGTCACACTGAGCAAATCACTGGACAATACAGACACATGAATAACAACTGCTAACAGAATGCACAAGATGCTTCATCGCAGTTAAATTTGGCATTGGCACTCAGCATTCAAAATGTTGGCTTGATTCTGAAAAGAGGCTTTTGTCGATGCTGAGACTAAAAAAAAATCCCAGAACTCATTAACATGTATATTTAATGCTCAAGGAGAATGCAGCTTTCACTGCTGCTACTCATTTCCTTCCAGGATCTACCGTATTTTTCGCTCTGTAAGGTGCACTTTTTCCCCCTCAAAAGTAAGGGGAAATGTCTGTGCGTCTTATAGAGCGAATGTGTGTGTGCCCGACGCCCAGGACGCTGCCGGCCACCTGCACCACGTGGCACCACCTAGCTGGCACGCGCTTGGCATGCCCTGCTCCGTCCCCCCCCCCCCGGCACAGGTGAGAGCTGTGCCGCTCAGGGGGAAAGGTGCGGAGGAGAAGCCACGGCCTTTAACCCGCCGGCCGCATGGAGAGATGGACTGCTCACCCCCACCGCCCGGGAAGACCTGCCGCCGCACTGCCCGGAAGACCACCGCCAGCACGCTGCCAGCCCCACGTGGCACCACCTGGCTGGCACGTGCTCGGCGCGCCCTGCTCCGCCCTCCTCCTCTGGCGCAGGTGAGAGCTGTTAATCACAGGTCGGTGTGTGTGTTCAAATGGCAACCCATCTTTTAATGAAGCCCATGGGGAAGTGATGGGGAATGTGTCTGTGATTATCAGGAAGCTTTCCATGGATCGGTTATCTGTTAGTTGATCAGACACATTTTTTTTTAGGATCAGTGGATATTTGAACAGCATTACCTTCCTGTATGAAGTTTATTCTTCAAAGGCTACTTAGTCCGCTGTGTGTTTGATTTACCGTACAATGTTTCATTTTTTTGTCAGAAGTTTTTTTCTATTATTTACTAGTAGGGCAGCGTGGACATTACTGGCTTTTTTAGATTTGTTATTGAATTGTCTGCAGCAGCTCTTGTATAACTGGTGTAGATTGTGGATTCCTTCAATAATTCCACTACTGACTAAGAAAGTGATGTCAGTGATTGTGAGCAACAGAGCTTCATAAATTCTGACTCTAGTGATGATGAGTTCTATGGGTTCAACGAAAACTAGAAGAGTACTCGAACTTTAAAGTCTCTCTTTTGTTAATGACAGTGATGATGGTTCTTAATGCCACTGTTGACTGTTGTTCACTTTCCAAGGTTGAAATACGGTATTACTGTATTCTGTTATAGTTTATTAAATAGTTTAGTAAATCATTTGATTCAGAATATTTTTTTTCTTGTTTTCCTCCTCTAAAAACTAGGTGCATCTTATGGTCAGATGCGTCTTATAGAGTGAAAAATATGGTAATTTGTTTACAGCTTAGGGCTGTTTAAAACCTGTACTGATTTTGGGGCGTAGCTGCTACTACTTCATGCCCTCCGGCAACCTCACATTCATTACTGCTGCTACGGAGCAGGATTTGTGTTTAAGGAGAAGCATCAAACAAATCTACACTGTCAGGAAGAGTACACACTTTTAAAAAACCTGTCAACAGTGTATCTTTTTTAACAGTTATTTTAAAACAGTAATTATTTTGGTCAGTAACTCATATACTTAGAACAGGTTCAGGGGGCCAGAACTCTATCCCATAATATGGCCCGCATCTAAATCTGGTTGCCACAACATGCCATAAACTCCAGTCCTCTCTAGAATAACATCAGGGTGAGCGCATGAGGCATCATGCAGGGATCAGATCTGACTCAGAAGCCTCCTGTTGCCATCCAAAACATTTCTTTTGGTCCGTTCCAGCTGCTCATATTCACCCTATGAGAAGGACCTGATGCACCACCGCCCCAGTTCCATGCGTACCCTTATGCTGCAATCCCATAATGCTTAGCCTGGAGTAAGTCCCCCCTAGCTCCATCTATTACATAAGGAGAAATAAACCTGTTTCATGGTGCTTAGAAAGTTGGACTGGGACTCCAGAGTCCCGGGTTCTAGTCCCCACTCAGGCATGAAGCTCACTGGGAGACTTCGGGACAGTCCCTGACTTGCTGCCCAGCCTACTTCACAGGGGTATTGTGAGGAAAACAGAGAGAGGAAGGACCATGGAAGCTTCTACTAATGGACCGCCATCGTCAAGCCTGATTATTACCCCTGCTTTTTAAGCACACAGGTGAAGGAAGAAGATGCACCAACAACCCCTCCTCATGCCTCATCGCCTCCCTTCTTTTCCTTAAGGAGGGAGCCAGTGCGGGGCCGTGGGTGATCACACCATCCTGAACCCTGGAAGTACCGAAGATCTGTCATTTCTAAGGTCGCCTTTATGCGAGATGGCCCCAGAGACGAAGCGACGCCCCCCCCCCTCAAAAAAAGCGACGACTTGCAACACAAGCTCCCAGAGGGCTGCAGACAACCGGTATTATTTGCCAGGAGGCACAGCCCAAAAGGACGGGAGGGGTTTGCCAGTGAAACCGAGCTCGGGGAAGCAATTCAGCGGGAGCGCTGCGGGAAAGGAGAGGCTGCCCGGGGAGCACGGGAGGCAGGCGAGGAGGGAGCTTCGCAGGGCAGGGCAGGGCAGGTAGGAACCAAGGTGAGGGGGCACGGCGGCGGGGGGAGGGTTTCAGTGCAGCACCGCTAGGGCCAAGGAGGCTGCAGGCGGCTCGGGAGCGGAGCACTCACCTGAGAGCGCGCTGCACAGGAAGCGCCGCCAGAGCATGGGGAGCGGAGCCGGAGCCGCCGCCCGGAGCCGCCTCCCGGCACGGTGACTCAGAGGGGAGGGGCGGGCCACGCTCACCCCGGCGGCCCGGGTACGTCATCTCCGCGCCGTGCCTCTTCTGAGGAGCGGAAAAGCGCCGTGACGTCGTTGGCTGATGACGGAAGAGGGATGGGCGGGACCAGTTGTCCGCGCGTCGAGGGAGCGCCGCGTCACGTGAGGGAACGCTTGGCCGCCTTAGGTTGCCTAGAGGACCAAACCATTATATAATAGGGGGAGGCCGGCGGTGGGCCAATTTAAGGTGGCGGCAGGGCGAGGAAGTCGGTGCGGTCGGCTTTCGGAGCGTGCTAAGGCAAGGAATGAACCATGTATTCGCGGAAAATGGGGGAGGAAGCAGTCATTTAGCGGGCGAAACCATGGCGGAAGCTGATGGGGAGGGAAAGAAAAAGTCGTTTGTTGAAGGGCGAGCCATTGCAGGTGCGAGGGGGAGGCTCAGGGGCCGAACCATTTACGTGCATGGGGGTGGAATTCATGCGAGCAAATTACTGACTTTTCCTCTTTCCTTCTTGATACTGCAAAATATCTGCATGGCGTTATACAGCCTTCTTATTTAGCACACCTCCCGGATGTGTTGGGACTACAGCTCCTATCATCCTTAGCCACGCATGCATTTTCCTGCCGTTTCCTTTCTCCTTTCTGAGGCTATACAAAAGGCTTAGTGTTAGGACCACCACGTCCATCATCCTCAGTTGTGACTGCACAGTGCAGATGATGGGTTCTGTAGATCCAGCTCGTTTGGAAGTTGCCAGGTTGCAGAGGAGGCTGACTTTCAAGGAGTGCCATGCAAGCCCTTAGGATTCCTGGACCTGGGAAAGAGCTCTGCAGACTTTGGGGGCCACACGCCATGCGTAAGGTGACCTGCAAAACTCCGCTCCAAATATTGCATACCGAGACTATGCCCAAAAGTGCCAGAGGAGAAGAGTTGCGTTGCCTCTGAGCATGGAAGAACAGCCTCGCTCCTTAAGATCAAATGGTACCTCCCCGCCCCCATCTTGTCTTCAGCAGTGGCCAGAAAGAAACCTTTGGGCAGTTCCCCGAAAAGGGGCACTGTTGATTGTGTGGCTTAGCATTAGCTTAATTGCTAAGTTTTAAATAAAATAAAGACCCTGCTGAAATAAAAGAGAACCTTTCTATTCCAAGACAGTATTCCTTTGCTCCCAAGTGTTTTTATGGGACCAGGCAGCAGAATCTTAATTTAAACCTAGGCTTAAGTGTTACTGTGAAATGCTTCAATTCTTTACAAGTTTCCTTAGAGTGGCAATCCTATGCATGCATTTTCAGACAGACCCCCCCCCCCCCCCAACGCTCATAGTTCTTAGCATGCCAAAGCCAACCTGATGGGGAACTGTATGACTTTTTCTGTCTAAACATGCACAGGATCACACTCTTGGGTGGAAGTGCTAGTGATGCCATGTTTGCTCAGAAGTAAAGGCTTACTGAATCGCTCTGGGCTTTGGCAACATCTTTGCATGCTTGGTTGTGGACGCAGCGGTTCTTGACAGATAAAGCAGTTCAATAGGTCATTGGCTGCCAAGCAATAAACCCCCCTGTGATTTTTCTTACAGAAAAAGCTCTTGTCGCTCTTGGATTATGTCCCCAAAGGATCTTTGCAGCTCTGCCCCATCTTAGAGCTTGGATCCAGAGCCCCCAAGACTGAATTTTCTTGCTAAGCTTCTGCATCTTCCTCTGAGCATACAATGGCTACTCTAAGCAGGATGCTAAGGTAATGCAGATATTGGATTTTATTTGAGAGCATGAATGTGCCAGGAGTGGTCATCCACTGAGCTCCGTGGCTGAGGGGGGACTAGAACCCAGATTGCCCGATTCCCCACACTGGCTCTCAATGATTAATTGATTCATTAGGAACATAAAAAAGCTGTGCTGGGCCAAATCCTCGGTCCATTCAGTCCAGCTCTCCGGTCACAGGGTCGCAAACCAGCTGCCCACAGGATTGCTGGAACAGGATGGGTGCCTACCCAGCTCCTCAGCAATGGACTGATTACATGTATATCTTTTCTTTTCCTCCAAGAGCCAGGCATGCTCTTCCTCTCCTTTTCATCCTCCCAGCAACCCTGTGAGGTAGGCTAGAGGGACTATCAGAGGCTGGCCCATCATTTCCGGGTGGGCTTCGTGGCCCAGTGGGAAACAAGCCCAGAAGTTCCGCCACCAGTCCAACACCAACTGCTTCACCATGCCAGCATCCCTCCTTCCCCTTCCCCACCCCAGACAAGACTCATCTCCCCTCTCCCGAGCGACCTTTGATCTTCCTGCTGCCCCTCCGTCACCTTGCTGGAGGCTCCTGTCTTTCTTCAGCTTGGCCATCTCGTGAAATATCTCACAGAGGAGGCGGCACAGAGCTTCCAATACGCTCGCAACTAGCCACAGGGTGGCTGTGGATGCATGAGGAGGTAACTTGGGGCAGAAAGCGAAAACCTAAGAAGGGTCGTACTGGGTTAGACCAAGGGCCCATCCATCCCACACTTGTCTCGCACGGGGCCAACTGGCCGCCCCGACGGGAAGCTCAGAGGTAGGGAATGAGTGCCATTCCTCCCGCCTTGTATTGCCCAGAAACCAGTGTACTAAGGCACACTGGCTCTGATGCTGCAGGTGCCACGTAACCACCGGGACTGGTAGCCATGGATAACTTCCTTTTCCATTAATTTGCGCAGACTTCTTTTGAAGCCCTCCAAATCGGTGGCCATCACCAGGTCTCACACCATCGTCGAAGAGCACCGTGGGGCCAAGAAGGCTGTTGAGACAGGTCTCCCTCCCCGAGCGCTGTCCAGCTCCATCTTGAAAGCCTCCAGTGCGGGAGAGCCACCCCCTCCCTCAGTCATGGGCTCCTCTATCAGTCAGGAAGTCCTTGCTGATGTCCAGCCGGACCCTGGCTTCCTGCAACCTGAGCCCGTTATTCTTGCGTCCCACACTGGGGTAATCCAGAAGAGAGCCTGGCCTTCCTCTTTGGGACAGCATTTCAAGGATAGGCTGCCATCCTATCTCCCCCCAGTCTTTTCTTCTTGAGGCTAAGCATGCCCAGCTCTTGCGATCTCGCCATCGATTGAATGGATGCCGCAGTTTACCTGTGTGCCATGCCAAAGAGGCCAGCCTTTTATTTCTCCTCCCCATCTCTGTTATGGCAAGAGCCAGCTGGGATCTGGAACGATGAGCAAGAGTTCACGGCAGCTGAGCAGGGCCGTCAGGGGCAGGACCTCTGTGGAGGGTTGCTGGAAGTTGGAGGGGACCTGACGGCACGTAAGGACAACGAAACTGAGCAGAGAGAACCATGTCTCCCTACCCACCAGGCATCCAGCTGAGCAATCCCCGACGTGGATTTCCCTTGCAGGGTGTTGCTCCAGCCTCTTCATTATTTTTGTGGTCTCCACAGCTGCTGGGCTGCAGTTTCCATCTTCCCCAGCTAGCTGGGCCAGAACAGTCCACCACTGCCTCTCCTAACTGTGACCTTCCTCATGAAACGGGCACCTGGCTCTGGCCGGGGCCTTTGTTCCTCCCTGCAAACGGCGGATCAAGAGAAATGGCCACAGCTCTCGCGGGGAGATTTTTTCTGAAGATCTGAGAGGTGCTCAGCCTGATCTGTGATCCGTTTGCACTTTGTAAGGTCCTGTTTGCTGTCTGAAGTGCTGAGCCAGGTGTTTGTCTGATAATGGAGCCCTTCACCTGAACACGTTTGATTCCAGGATCTAAGAGAGAAGGTTTAAAAGAGAAGGCCAGTGATGTGTGCAAGCAAAACAGATTTAGATGGATAGGGAAAGGGCTTCAAAGGGAGTATCGAGTGTTTCCGGGGACATCATGCGTTTTAAAATGCAAAGAGGTCCTACGATTCCCAGCTTTACTGAAACATACTTAAGATTGTGGCTATTGTGTCTTAACTCCCTTTTGCCAGAACATACTCGGATAAGATGGAGGTGCTGTTGGTGCAGAATCCTTCTGTTCAGCTGGGGAATCTGCAAAGTATTCTGCACGAGGTTGCGTGAGGTTGGCATCCTCGGAGTACTTCTGGATCCTGAGTTGTCACTTGTGCCCCATTCATCACATTTTGGTTGCACTGCATTGTTTTCTGGCTTCGAACACAATATCCAGCCTACCTTGCAAGCATAAGGGCTAGAAACTTGTTATTTTAGAACAAATGCTGAGATTTCAAGAGATGCTGAACTCTGTGATCAGTAGAAGTTTTGGATGCAGTACGGAGTTTTTCTAGCCCAACCGAACAGTCTGTTTACCCTATTTTCACACAGGATTCTCCTTATCAGAGTTGACTTGATGGCGAAGACGAGCCCTGTTTCATATTGCTTTGAGGTCCATGTTAATTTTCCATGTAAATTTCAGCTGTCAAAGGGACCAAATACCAACTATTTATTTAAAACTTTTATATGCCGTCCTTTATGTATATCTCAGGATGGTTTACAACATTAAAATCAAAATCCAATAAAACAATATCACAGTATAATAAAACAATATATAACCAATAAAAATTAATCAAATCAAAAGCCACTGTTAAACCATTAAAATACTATTTTAAAAAAAAAAAATTGTCCCCCTTCTTTTTTTTGTAAGAGTGTGCTGAGTTTGTAGGTATGGAGATTTTTCATGGATCTAACACATCGTCAATTGCTTCTAGGGTCTTGCAGCTTGAAGCCTTCTCCAGGCAGTTTCCCACTTCTTGTGGGCTGCACACATCTGCCAGTAAGCACAATTCCAACCGAGTGGCCATTTCATGCCTTTCGAGGCAGAAGTACAGCCGGAAATATCCAGTGATGCTGGTGAGGACTGATGGCTCGACGATCAATGTCCGTTACAACGAGCCGAGGAGGATCCTTTCGGTAAGAGTGAATTCCATTCGACTGGAAATTCTGGCCTGCTCTGTTTGAGGTGGTGAACTTGTATCCGGATGGCAGAGGTTGGGTTTGCCTGCCTGATTCGTCCTCCATGCAGCAATAACGGTTCCCTGCCCATAGAAAACTAGCACGTCAGGCTTCTAGCCTAGTCTACTGCTTGGTTAGCTTTCTACAGGCAGGGAATTGTCCTTGCACAGAGGAGCATTCAGTGACATGAGCCCCACAGTCCAGAATTCATTCAGAGCTAAATTCCAGCTAGTGCAAAGCACTGGCCACTTGTGGGGCCGTTCACATTATTCAAAAATAAAAACCCTCCAAAAATAAATAAAAATAAAAATCCTAGAAACTGACTAGCAGCCACATGATTGCTGGGCAAGAAATAATAATCATCAGATTAGGGTCCAAAATATTAACACTTCCCCCCCACCAAGTCCTGACATGCTTTTCTAAGCAGAGCTGTCCTTGCTGAATTTCTTTACAAAAGGCACAAGATCCTTCCAGTGAGGGGGAATAGTGAGATTCCTAGGAATGCCGAGTAAATTATTTTTAATTTGCAACAGAATATTACTACTATTTTTAATTCTCTTTCCCTTTCTAGCTACCTGTAGACATCACTACTCTGCCTGAAGCTGAGAGGAAAGCCCGGCTGAGGAAAAGGACCGCCGGCAGGCTGAAAGTCAAAGAGGAGGTTCCTTTGGAAGATGACTTTAAATTGGACGATTACAGGAAGTACTGGAAGAAAAAATGATTGATTTTTGTCTCTGCTGGGGGTGGGGTTTAGGAGGAAAAGAAACTTTGTCACAGCAGATACTCCAGGTGCAGTCCTAGGCATGTTTGGAGAGAAAAAAGGCTACAACCCACAGGAGTTGTAAGTTGTTGGGAGTTGTAAGAACTTCTGTCTAATCATGGCTTGGATTTAGCCTTCATGTTGCAAAAAGTGCTGCAAGGAGATGAAAGCAGTCCCCAAATAAAAAGGTTTGTTTTCTTTATTTCCAATTTCCGGGTTACTCTCTTTGGGGGCCACGTTGGGGGCAGAAGGGGCTGGAGAACCACGTTTAGCTGGGTGGTGGTGGTAAGAATATCACTCAGTGCGAGCTCCTGCGCTCGTTTACTCAGAAGCAAGCCCTGTTGAATTCTAAGGGACTACTTTTCAGGTAAGTGCATACAGGAGAATAAGTGTCCTCATGTACCTGAGAATAAATTATATTGTGTCCACAGGGTTATTTTATTTTATTTATTTTAAAAGCTGAAACCAGCTCATGATCTTGCAGCTGACGCATCTTTACACTTTCTTCCCTCCACTGCGGCGGGGCAGCTCCCACTTTCAGGGAATGGGGTGGAGAAACCCACTCCGCCAAGGCTCAGTTCCGCAATATGGCGCAGCCCGGCCTCACGGGGCAAGCCCATTGGTCGGGACCAGACAACACCTTTCGGAGCACGTGCGTTTGGCAGGCTAAGCTCACTCGAATCACAGCCCTCTTGTGACTGCAGAATCACATCGCGTTTGCAGCTCCCTTTCCAGCTGGATCGTTTGGAGGTGCCTGGGCAGAGCAGCCTGCAGGGTCCAGGTTTTGGGGGCAAACGGTGCCATGAGCCCCCTTCTCAGAAGGACTGCTTTGTCACTGCTGTTTCTTGTCAGCCTTTTGCTTATTGCTATCACCAGGTTGGGAGGCAGAGAGGCAGCAAGCAGGTTGGCCTGGCATCTCCTCTTCCTCCCGGCGACCTGCCCTTGCCGGGACCTGGGTAAGAAGCAGGGGAACAATCAGGTTGCAATAGGACAGGAGGAGCAATGGCAGGGGCTTCTTGTCAGTGGCCCCTGCTGGGGCGTGGGGCCCTTGGCCAATGCCCGAGCGTGCCTGATCACGAGGCTAGTCCTGCCCGTGGGCCCCTCCAGGCCCACGGACCTGCTAAGCGCCCTTCCTTAACGTGTCCTGTTGCTTCTGCTGGGAGAGCCAATGCCGTCGCCCAGTGATGGAGCAGAGGAGCTTGTCCAGTCTCCGGCTCAGCGGGAAGCTGGACTGCACAAGCCAAGAACATTCATAGCCAAAACCTCCTCCAGCCCCAGTAGATAATACTAGATGAGGAGGACCAGGGAACTGCCTCTGGGGGAGGTGCCTTTTCATATTCCGGCTATTTCTACCTCCCCCCTGCCCCCTTTAGCCAGTCCTGACAGGACTAGACTAGCAATACCTTCCCCAACCCACAGTGCCAGCTCCAGCTTCTGGAGGGGCCATGGGCAAGTGCCCGAGCATACCTGTCCTCGTGGCAGCCCGGACTTTGGCCCGAGGCTCCAGACCTTGCACAGGAAATGTGTGACTGACCGCCCTAAGCTCCCTGCCAGCACAATCTTAGGCATGGTTGGGCAGAAGACAGTCCCCCAACTCCCAGCATGCCCCAACCTGTTGCTGGGGCATGCTGGGAGTCGGGCTCTCTCTTCTTCGTGGAGACCTGCACAGGATATGGCCTTCCATGTCGCGCCACCCTGCTTCGCCTGCGAGGAGGAGGACTCCCCTCCGGGAGGCAGGCAGGGCAGCCTCGGGCCGGCAAGCGAGGCGCCTGAGACTGCCGGGGCGCTGGAGGGCCGGGCCGCCGAGAGCAGCAAGGCGCGCCCCTCTCGGCAGCTTGGTACGGCCCGCCTCCCCCCGCCAGCGCGCGTGGCGGTGGCGCAGCCCGAGCCTGGCGGAAGGCGCTGGCGGAAGCGGGTCGGGCGCGCGGCACGTGGGTCGCAGCGGCGCAGGTCCGGGCGCCGGTCGCGGGCGGGGGGGGGGCGCGGTGCTGGGACGGGCCCCGCCTCAGGCCCAGCGGCCTCCGCCTCGCAGCGGGCCTTGCGCCTCCGGGCCCGCCGGGGGCGTCCCCTCCCTCCCGGGCCTTTGGGGTGCAGCCCGCTCGCCCCTCGGCGGGCCGTCCCGGGGGCCCGCATCTGCGGGGGCGCCGTGGCGGAAGCGCTGCCCTCGCGCAAAAGGCGCTCGGGGAGGCGGCGGCGGCGGCTCGTCGCGGGGCCGCGCCGCCGCTGCGCCGGATCGCGGGGAGCGGTGGAGCCGCAGGGGCATCGCGCCCGATCCCCGCTCGGCTCAGGGCGCGCCCCGAGGGCCTCCGGCGGGGGCCCCAGCCTCCCCCGGCCCCGCTGCCGGGCTGCTCCCACGGGCAGGGCGTGCCTCCCGGCCCTCGCACCTGGGCCCGCCCTGCCCTGCCCTGCCCTGAGCAGGAAGAGGCTCTCCTTTCCGTGGCGCCCCTTCAAGCGCCTGCGCAGTGTTTCCCGTCAATCCGAGCGGGTCGCTCGAAGGATCCAAGACGGTTTTTATTCTGACTTGACCTAATAGCCTTTCTGAACATGGCACTTTCAAATAGGATGCCTGGCACCCCATCTGTTTGCTGGTGGGAGATGGGCTTTGTAGTCCACCGCAGCAGCCCCCTCCTGCCCATGTTCCCCAGCAACTAGTTTTCTTCAGAGAGGATAAGGAATTCTGCATGTGCTCAGAGGCACTGTGAACCTCCCTCCCTTCAGAAAGGAAAGTCAGAAGGTTTGTGCTTGGAGAAGTTTTGGTCCTAAGTCCTTTTTAAAAAAAACAGGTTTGCGAAAAGGACTCTGGACAAGCTGCATATTTTATAATAAAAGCTGGTGCAACTTTACACCCAGGAGTGGGTGGGCTACTGGTTTCAGCTGTCCAGTTCTTTATCCAGAGTAAACACATTCTGCTTATGGGCCTATTTCTTTCAAAATAGCAGATCCTATACTGCTGTTGTCATGTAAGCTGCCTTGAGCTTTCAAAAGGCTGGATTTACATGTTTATGTCCCTTTCACTAGACTGAACAACAACCTTTTTGCAACTTAGAATATACCTTCCAGGACTGCAGTGATTAGATGCAATAAAACCACCAATGAAACTGCTCAACGGAGTGTTGAAATTAGACTTAGATAGAGACAGCCCTTATAAGCATTACCTTTTCCTTTTTCAGGGAAAGGTGCCGGAAGATTGGAATCCACTCTCCCTTTGAAAATTTGAATTTTTAAAAAAAGAAAAGAGTCTGCAGGGAATCACCGTTTTCCCCTTCGTCATGTTTGGGTCCTCCCGAGGCGGTGTGAGGGGCGGGCAGGACCAGTTCAACTGGGAAGATGTGAAGACGGACAAGCAGCGGGAAAACTACCTGGGTATGAAGACTGTCCCAGTTCTTTAGCTGCCTCTTGTGGTAACTGGGGTGCTGAAATTGCTCAGAGCCGGTTGAGTCCCGGGTTCAAATGCCTCCTCCAGCCTTGAGTTCACTTGGCAGCCTCGGACAGTGCTTTCTTGTGCCTTCTCTGTCTTTCTCTCTCGGTCCCACCTCTTCCTCCAGAACAGATCCAATAACATTTATTCCCCGGAGTAATATTCTGCAGAGAAGATTAAAGCAGACTGTAGAAGTGTTGTACAATAGTCAGAATTTAGCTACAGGCTGCCTGAAATGTTCCATGAGGCTTAAGGGGTCAACTGTATGCATGTTTAGACAGAAAAATAGGCCCACGGCTCCCAGCATGCCCCAGGATCCTACGGTAAGGCAGGTGGGGAGACACACACCTCAGTCCATCCTCGTGGAGGAAGCAGCCGACAGCTTTTTTCCTGTCTAGTCATGCGTACGATTGTGTCTTCTGTGGAGCTAAATGCAAGTCCTGCCATTCTGTGTTGCCTGGGGCTTTTCACATATCATAGTACCCTGTGCTAAAATTGCTCAGCCAGTGGGAAGATGGAGCAGGCTGGTGTCTCGGTGAACCTGCAGGATTCGCCTTAGCCCTCCATGAGAGGAAGAGTTAGAAATTCAGAGTGGTCTTCGGAGCCTCCCTGGGAGGCATTGGCCGCCTTACCTGGTGGATGTAAAAATGCCAGCTCACACGTGCATGAAATTGGATGCATTGGATGTACAAGAAATGTGTGCATCAGCCTTCGCCAGGTCGCTGCCTTCCAGATGCGTGGAACCGCAACGCCCTTGTGCCTCTAGCTGCATTGGACACCACCTCCCAGAATTCCCCAGGCAGCTGGGGGATTCTGGGAGGTGATGTCCAGCAGAACTAGAGAGAACCACCTCCAGGAGGGCTGTTTACTTTGGCCAGCAGGGTAGCCCTCGTGTTTTCTCGCCCTCTCAGATCCTTTGGAACAGAAAGACTAGGATTTCTGACTTGCCACGCTGGCTCCCTCTGCTTGAGCTTTGGGCCATCCACCATCTGTCTGGTGGTTTGCTTGTGCCCCCATCCTCTCCTTCAGCACTGACACTGCATCACCTGCAGGGAACTCCTTGATGGCACCCGTGGGCCGGTGGCAGAAGGGCAAGGATCTCACCTGGTATGCCAAGGGGAAGAAAGGAGATGCGCCTGTCTCCCGAGAAGAGGAGCTGGCCGCTGTCCGGCGGGCGGAGGAAGAGGCCATGATGGCGGCCTTGTAAGTTTTGAGACGGAGGCCCTCTGTTTTGGCTCCCTGTGGCCATTCAAATGCATGCCTCAGTCCACATGGACGGAGAACGCAGGGCCGTTCTCCGTCCAGAGCATCAAGGCTGGGTCATTTCATTCCCTGAAAGCAGAGAGCTGTGGAAAGCTCAGGGTCTTTCCGTTTGTTTCCTACTGGGAAGCATGTTCAGTGTGAAATTTCTTGGTGGAGCAGGACCCATGTTCCATGCTTGCCGCAGCGTCTCGAAAGCCTTGGAATTGCGCTGCTCATTTAAATCGCCAAGTGGTTCTTCTGGGAATTCAACCGAAGGTGCAAAAACTTTTTTGGGTGACGCATGAACGCCCAGCAGGACCACTGGCTTGCATGCCAAAACTTGGCGCCTTGATCAGGGTTAGCAGAAGGTGGGGGGACCTCTTTGCTGCCCCTCAGGCAGCAAAATATTCCAGCCTGACCCTGGACGGAGCCTGTGGGAAAGTTCCAGACAAGCTGCACTGGAGGAATCTGGGCTCCTTTGGAGCTGCGCTTCCTCATTCACACTCCACCAGACTAACTCTCCTTTGCGTTGCTTCTTCCCAGGGGTTACAAGAATATGAAGAAACAGCCAACAGGGTTGAGCAAAGAGGTAACCATACTTCTCCTTATATTTTTCAATTCTGCATCTGCTCCGATCCCTCATGGCTCTCCTTGTGCTTAATTTATTCTTTCAGTTATATCCCACACTACTTTTCATTCCTCAAGGGGAGTCACAGAAAACCCTCCTCTTCCTCCACTGTTGTATTCTCACAACAGCCTTGCGAGGTAGGCTGGGCCGAGATGCACGACTTGTCCAGAGTCACCCAGTGAGTTTCATGGCCAAGCGGGGGCTGAATCCCAGATCTCCTGAGCACCAGCCTGCATGGTAACCATTGCACTGCACCAGCTTCCTGTGTTAAAAGGGATAAAGCGCTTCCTCGGCATCTCTCCATTCCCTTTCAAAGCAGCTTAGTTCCTGTTATTAAACACCAGCCTTGGCTCTCTGAGAAATACGGCATGAGACAGAGGTTGGAATACAGTTTTCTGGTTTTCCTGCAGTACTCTCTTTTTCCAGAAGATTATTTGGGCTAGCCTAGGGGTTTGGCTGGCAGGCCATTTTCGTGCAGGTAATGCCTGCAGACACTTTTAGAAACGATGCACTCTTCTACTAAGCACAGCAGGAAAGGTCTAGGGCAGAAAGGTTACCACAGCTCAGAGCTGTATTATTTCCCCGGCACTGGAGTCCCTGCGTGATCCTGAAATGTATTCCTGCTGTGATTCCGTTCAAGGACCTTGCTGAAGTCTGCAAACGTGAAGGGACAGAACACGACGAGAAGAGTGTGGACCGGATGGTGGGCCTGGGGAGTTCGAGGTACGTGGGGCCTTCACCAAATACCTTCCACACGCTGCTTTCAAAGGGGGAGACTGTCCTTGTCCTGCAGAGGTGGCAGATACACCTGCAGGAAGGAGCCCTGTACTCCCTGCCCGGTTCTCTGTTCTGTCCAAATTGCACGAGGAAGCCGTCTGGTTCTTTCCACCCACCTCGCCCCCTTCATGTGCGTTGCCCTAAGCAGGCACCTCTCCATGCACCTGTTTGAGAAGTCACCACCTGCATTGGTGGAGCAGATTTCTGTTTTGTTTTTGGAAAGAATAATAGTAAATCGTGCCGTGGGACGGGACCTCGGAGATCAGGCCGTCCAGCTCTCCTGCTCTGTGCAGGAAGTTTCTCCTTTTTGGGGTGCGTCCAGAAGTACATTCGCCTTTATTTTCGATCCACTGTACGAGCGTCAAAAAAAGAGCGCTCCTTTCGATTGCTCGTCTCTCCTCGAATGGCAGCTTGTTCACTGACATCCTGCAGCTGTGATCTGACTTCTTTTCAGGTGCGCCGGGGCCAGGATGGTATTCTCCAAAGAAGACAAAGAGGCCGCCAAGCTGGGCCTTTCCGTCTTCACGGTAGGTGGCCAACCAGCCCCTCTACCGCACGCCAGGGGTGCAGAAGGTGCTGCTTGCGGGCCCCCTCTGCCGTCCTGCAAGGCCCTTCAAGCTCCTTCGTGGGATGGGACTTGGCCTCCGAGGCCCATCCGCTGGAGGAATCCCTGACCTGCTCTCGGAGCCACTGGTGTTGGGGGAGGCACATCGCTTCCGTGCCCCGTCCTGTGCGAGGCCAGATGGAAAAAGAGACTCTCAGTTCCCAGCATGCCCTGGGCAGCGCACAGGGATTCGTGGCCCTTTTCCCTGGCGGCACTGCCATCAGATCGCGCCCGAAGTGCACCAGAACGCAGTGACCTCTCTTCCTCCTCTTTTCCCTCTGATGAGCGTCTAAAGCGGTGCGACAGGAGCCGTTCACTTTCGCCTTGTCTTTGGAACTCCTCTAGCACCATCGGACGGCGGACGGCCCTGAGGTGATGCCCACCCAGAGGAAACCGGAAGAGGCCGGCGGAGGAGACGCAGCGCAGTAAGAGCCCGCGTTCCCGTGTGTCCCCGGCTCATCCCTCGGGCCGAGGAGAGGAAGGCTGTGTTGGTTCTGGGGAGCTGCACCGGGCGAGGGGGTTCACACACTGGGAAGGAGAAGCATGGAGCACGCGGCCAAAGGAAGATGGGTCTGGTGGTGCCGCATTTTAGCCGGCTCTCCCTGCCCCGGCCTGGCCCCTCCCTCGAGATGTGCCGGGCTACAGCCTCTGAGCCAGCAGCAGCTTGCTGACCCGGGGAACACGGGGGTTGCAGTCCCACAGATCCGGATGGTTTCAGGCTGGGGAGGGCTCACCCAGGCTGAAGGCGTGCGCACGGGGCCTGAGCTGGGCGGAGGAGAGAACAAGCCGCGTGAACGGGGCGTCCTTCAGCCGTTGAACCACCGGCCTGAGGAAGAGTAGGGAGAGTGGCTCCAGCCCTCAGGTCTGGACTGTGCCACTGCAGGCTGCAAGTGGGGGAGTTTAATGGCCCCCCCATTCTCTCTGCACTGAAACCAAGCATGTCAGGGACTAGGTATGGTCCCGGATAATCTGATTTTCTGTGAGCGTGGGTGTTTTTCTGAACAGCAGAGTACGTGCAATTTGAAATGGTACGGCCAGCTTTCTTACTCGGGTTCCAGGGTATCTTCCCTGCCCATTCAACTCCATCACCATGCTTCTAGACCTCATGGCTGTGGAGAACCACCCATGCCCGGGAGCTCATGGTACTTCTTTTCAAGTCTTGAAGCTGCGTATGTAAACGTGTCTTCACCAAAGGTACCAGCTCTTAACTGGGCCAGCAGTTAGTTCAGAGCTGCCCCTGCAGCAGAAGCATCCTAAACGTTCGAGGACGAGTCTTGGAGGAAGGTGTGGTTTGCCTGGCCCGCTCGCCTCCAAACACAAGGTGCTTCTGCGGCAGGACTATTCCAGAGGGGCAGGTCCCTCCTCCCGCCCCCATGCATCCTTGAGATAGTCGAGTCTCATCCGGGCTGTGCCATATACTGGCCTGCAGGTATGGGAAGGTTCAGCTCTGCCTCTTGCGTGCTGGCTTGCGTGGGCCTCCGCAGAGGGACGAAAGGAGGGTCAGAGAGAGAGGGAAAGGCCGTGTGGTTTCTGTTTTCAACTTGCAGGCCAGAGGTCAGCAAGAAGTCCAAGAAGAAGAAGAAGGAGAAAAAGAAGCACAAGAAGGAGAAGAAGAAGGAGAAAGAGAAAGAGAAGCACCATAAAAGGAGGGCCACGTCCTCCTCTGCCGCCTCTTCTCCCGACACCAGGGAAAGGTACTGCAGGAGGTGCTCCGTCTTGTGGGTCCGGGGGGCCCGTTCTCTCATGCTGCCTGCCTGGAAGAGGAGTCCCACGGCCCGGCAGAGATGCTTCTCTGGCCAGAAGGCCCTCTCCTTCCTCGGCTAGCCACAGATATTGTTGGGTATTTCCGTTCCAAGGAAATATGCTAACCCTCAGCCCCTGAAGGAGCGCGAGTCAGATCTCGGACGGCAGCAGGCGACAGCTGCCATTTCTGAGCTTTTGCGCCTGATCTGAAATGCCTGTTTGGAGAGTCCCTGGTGGGTGCGAGTCATGAGGGGAAGGTGGTTCAGAATCAACCACCTCTGCCTGACCCTGGACATAAAGGAAGTCTCTTGGGACCCCCGTATGAAGTCCTTTGGGAAAGAATTAAAGGCCAGCTGGCAGAAGCAGGTCCAGCATGTGATTTCCCCACCCCTGCTGTTCTGAAACAGTCTCCCCTGATCTGGTACCCTCCGGAGGGTTGGACCAGAGCATCCCCCAGCCAGCACTAGGCTGGAGAAGCCTCCATGATCAGTTGCGCTTTCAGGGGTTCCACACATGAGGCTGGCCAGGCACGACCCATGTCTTTAGGAGGCCTCGGCCAAGTCCTGGAAGTTACCGCTCCAACGGGGTTGAAGACTCCAGGGCTGGGCTCCTTCTCCCCAGAAGGAGAAGGGGGCGCAAATTAGCAGAGAAGCTTTTCCTCCTGCCCAGGTCTGCACCCATCCTGCAGATACGGTGCCTCGGGGTTACAGGGAGCCGGCGTCAGTGAGCCCTTGGGGTGCTTTGCGCAGTAGGAACCGTGGTCTCCACCTCCATCCTGCAAGCATCTTGCTGCCAGGCTCCCCCAAATAAAGTTTTAGGTGCTTAGGACTTGCATTCTGGCAGCCAGATTTAAAAAGGTTAGAAATACTCGAAACACCCTAAGTAATAAAGAGGCACGGAGCGATCAGAGAAGGTCTCGGGACGGAGGTCAGCCTTTATTTGGCACTCGCGCCTCCCAGTTCCAGGGGTGTTTTATAAGGTAGCTGCCCCTGCAGCGAGGGGATCCTGCCTGGCAGCTCACCAGCCGTGGCACGGCCAGCAGAGGCGCTTTTTCCCATGACTCCCAACCCTTTTCTGTGTGTCCTGGGAGTGGCTGGGCCTTCCACGGATTGTGACTTTCTCTTCCGTAGACCAGAATTTCTTTAAAGCCGTAATGGTGAAGAGCATGGGACTGGTACTCAGAGGATCTGGGTTTGAGTCCCCGCTCAGCCATGGAGGCAACTGGGTGACTTTGGGCCAGTCACAGACTCTCCGCCCAACCTACCTCACAGGGTTGTTGTTGTGGGGATAAGATGGAGGAGGAGATGTAAGCTGCCTTGAGCCCTTTGTAGGAAAAAGGCAGGAAATAAATAGAAATAAAAAATAAATAAAGCTTTTCCTTCCGCACCAGGAAAAGGCGGCCTGCTTCCCTGCCACAGGGGCATCCCTCCTCCGCCCGGCCGGCCGGAGCTGGCCTCCGGAGCAGCAAATCCTCACCCTCCCGGGAAGACCACCGAGCAGCCGGCAGGCAGCACCACAAGCCAGCCTCTTCCGGCAGCCGTGAGGAGGGCTCTCCTTGCGGCCGGCGCTCTCCCAAGCTCAGACGAAGGGAATGTCACCGCAGCAGCAGCAGCAGCCGGTCCCCGTCTCCCAGAGGCCAAAGCTTGGGGACCCCAAAACGCAGAAGGAGCCCGTCCCCCACGGCACTCAGAGCCAGGAGGAGGCACGACACGGATTCGGACGACTGACGCTTCCTTCGAAACGGAAGAGGCCGGGGCTTTGGCTGGAAGAACCACCCCTCTGGCCACGGACTGGGTTTCTTTCTCGGCCAGCGCCCATGTGCGCGGCTCCTTTGGAATCCAGGTTGCCGCTGCCCCACTGGGCTGCCCTGGTAGCAGAGATGGAAGGGGCAGAGCACCCACCCTCACCCACAGAGACGTCACCCTGAGGGCCCTGTTGAAGTGTGGAACCGTCGCTGCATTAACAGCCTGAAGCAGCCTTCCCAGCAGGGTGCCCTGAATCCTCGGGGCTGTCGTCTCAACCCTCTGGAGGGGTCACTCTGGGAAGGCTGCCGACATTGAACAAGTTGAACCAAGTGTTTTAACATACTAGGAGAAACCTTTGAGTTGCTCTTTTCCAGGCAGTGCGAGTGGCTATGAATGTCTGGATCAGCTTCATAATAAACACCTTCTAAGATTTTTTTTAAAGGATGTTGTGTTGATCTATATTTAACTCACACATTTTAAAAAATGCCGTAGAGATGTGGGTTTGGGCCCGGAATTAAGCTTCATCGGGCTCCTCCGTCCTTCCTCTTCTCTCGGTTCTTCTCCCCCCCGCAAGAAATGATGCTGGGGGGGGTGAGCTGTGGAAGGGGAATTCCTCCCCCAGGTTGGGTGGGGGCCCTTCCTGCCACAGCCCAGCTCTGCATCCAGCCCAAGGCCTTGCCCCCCCTTGCCCTCCTTTCATAAGTGCATGTGTACAGTTTGTGAAATTACGCATCAAAAGCCCTTGGCTCAGCCTCCCAATTGTTTGGACGGGAACACGCAGCATCCCTGAGCGTTGCCATGCTGGCTGAGGCTGATGGGAAAGCAAGTCAGAAACATCTGGAGGGCACCGTGTTGGAGAAGGTGGCCTTAGTGACGTATTGACATTGGATTTCTGTTATTAAAATACTGGTGAGCTTTTACATTCTAGATACCAGACGCTATAAAACTAAACCGCTGTGCCGCTGTTTTCAGTGCTTCCGTGTAAATGGAAAAGGTGGTTTCCAAGTTTTTGAAGCTGCAGTTGACTCGCTTTGTGGCGTTTCCTCCTCAGCCTTGCGCCAGCCTTCCTGAGTAGGGCACCTGTGCCAGGGGGTGAGTCTCTGGACGTACTCCTGTTTCCCTGTTACCTGGCACTAAAGGAGGAGAGAGCAGAGGCGAAGGGGAACGGTCCGCAGGGGAATGGGTGGCTGGCCCGGAGCGTTTCCTTTCCCTGTATCCCAGATGGCCCTGCTGCTTTCACATGACTGCCGATGGGGTGGGGGGGTTCCCCGTTTTGGCACATCACTCTCCCCACGCCCCCACTTCTAAAGGGAGGAAATGCCCCCTGAGGCTTAGTTGCGGGCAGCAAGAACAAGCGGCTACAGGATGCTGGTATGTTTGCCCCTGCCCGCTCGAGTGCCCCTCGAAACGTGGGTGTAGCCCTCGGGTCGCAGTGACATTCAGCACCCCTGCTGTCTGCAGAGGGGGCTGCGGCGGTCGCTCGCCTGGACCGCGTCCCCTTCGGCCACGCATCTCGGCCCTGCCCTGGGGGAAGGCACGGCTGCAGCCCGGAGGCAGAGGCGGCGTCCGTGCAAGGAACCCGGCTTTCCTTAGACGCATTCCCGGTGTTCCTTGCTAAGATCTACCTTGGCTTCCCTGGAGCAGAGCCTCCGCCTGGGCTCCCTGCTGCTCGGGTTGTGCAGCCGTGGCAGGGGAGCCTTGGTTCCAGTGGGGTGCCAGCCCCCCAAGTCTGTCTGGAACCGAACGCGTCCCTCAGAAGGCGCAGGAGGGCGGGCAGGAGGAGCACCCTGCCCCTTTGAGGTTTCCTCGAGGTCTGCAGGGCAGAAGGGAGGCGGGATGGCTTCTGCTGCCACCAGCCCTGCTTCCCGGGGTGACATGCCAAGTGGAGGCCAGCCTCGCCCGTCTGCCGGCCAGAGGAGGGGCCATTTCCGGGGGCCGGAAGGCACTTTGGGTCCCAGCTGCCTGGAACTGCAGAAGGAAGGGGAACGAACCTCTTGACTTCCTCCATCATTGACCAAAGGAGGAAGGGCCCCCGAAACCAGCGAGGAACGGCCAGCCTGGCCTGAAGGTACGTGACTTCCTCACTCGGCGCTCGGGAGCCAGGCCCTCTTCCCTCGCTCGGAGCGTGTCAGCCCAGGAGTCCCCTCCAAGTGGCGTGGATGTGAGGCTCCCCGGGAGTCGGCGGGTCAGGATGCAGGGGAAGGCGAGCTGCATTTAGTTGGCCTCCGTGGGGTGAGGCGCCCAGGAGCAGGTGGGCCTCGGCTCTCCTCCGGCGCGGCTCACAACCTTGCAGGCACCGCACCTGGACCTGCCGCCCCCCACGCGTCTCGGAGGAGCCCCTGCGTCTTTCCTGGCCTGCGCTCACTGCTTTGCTTTCCCAAAACCCCCTGCAACCCACAGCGGCTCTCTCTGCGGACTGCGATCGCTCGCCTCTTTCTCTGGGAAGCACCTTCCCGCGGGCGGTTTGAGCCTCAAGATGGCACTCAGCGGGCCGCAGGCATCCCCCTTTCCGCCCTGAGAAAGGCGCCGTGCCTGTCACAGCGCTTCGTCCTTGGGCTGGAGGAGGGGGAATAAGCGCTCTTGGTGCCAGGGTTCGGAGGGGCCTGGGGCAAGACCTCACGGCCCAGCGTCCTCCGTACCAGCACCGCCAGCCAGCCTCGAGGAGGGAGAGAAGAAACCATGCATCCACTCCGACGGTCTCCATGAGCCCTGGAAGCATGCCGCATCTCCTGTGCTCGCCTGGCACGGTGCCTCCCGGGAGCTTCCTCCAGGGCAAACCACTTCCCCTGAATTCGGCTGAAACTCTCGTGTTTCAGGGAGAAGAACAAGAGATCGGCAGTCTCCATATAGCTGGCCGGGTGATCTCAGGCACATTGTTCTTCCCCCCCGGTCTACCTTGCAGGGTTGTTGTGAGAGTAAAGAGTGCGGGGGGGGGGGCTCCATCCAAGCACCTTTGAGTTTCTAAGTTTACACGTCCAAGATATCTTAATTCTAAGACAGTCCTAGTTCATACCACCTGTATCTGCCCCTGCCAGCGGCACTTCCAATGAGTGCTACTGGCACAGACGTGACTTAACAGCACATGTGAATGGCGCCCTGTTTCGGAGTCAAGACGCAGCCTGAGAAAGCAGGGGAAATGACGTGAAATGGCGAGGCGGTGGAAGCCAGTGAAGGTGAAATTCACACACCTGGTTATTTAGGAAAATGAGTAGGAAAACCGCCCACCCCTGACCTCAGGCCTTACAGAAAAGGACAAGATGCCTTTATTGGGGGGAAATAAAAAAATTCTGGGGCAGGGGGTGCTGTGAGGAGAATGGTACCTATTTCCCCCACTTAGCATGAGACAGCCTCTGCTGTGAGGAGAAGGTGGGATGCTCTTTTGAGGTGAAAAGCATTTTAAAATCGCCAGATGGCTTTACGAGGGGAAGTTTCTCGGGCCATAAATCCACGTAATGGGCCTGTTGTTGTTATGGTTGTTTTATAAAACATATTTTGGGCTTCATGCAGTCTTGCTGGGACCCAGGTTTCCTGCTGGACGCGTGAAAGGAAGCGGGGACAACAACCGCTCAATAGCCTCGCTGCATCATAAAGTGGCCGGAGAAGACCGTCTCACCTGTGTGTTAAGTGGGGGCAACGGTGGGAAATGAGCCTTTAAGGGCACCGCCTGCGGTTCGGAGCCCCGGGCCAAGGGAAGGCGGGCAAAGGGGCAGGGAAAGGAAGCGGCCCTGTGAAATCGCAGCGCTGTAAAAGAACAAAACCGCCACCACACCGCGGTTCGGAGACGAGGGCCAGGCCAGCCGGCACCTTGGCTTTCTGGTCTCCATCCAGCTGCCCCCCCCCCCGCCCCCCAGCTCTGGGAAACGCATCCGTGTCGGGGGACAGATTTCATCAGAAATGACAGATGGAGGCAGGGGGGCGGTTAAGTAATTCCTCCTCCAGTTCTGCATTCTTTATTTGCAATACAGCAAGACCCAAAGAAATAGCAGGTAATTTTGGACTGGGCCGTCTTAAGAAAGGGGGAAGCCTCAGCTTGCAGATGTATGAACATGCAAATATTTCTTCTCTCAGGTTTTACCACCGTTTCTGTATTCCTGGTGTGATGGAGCAAAGCGAAACTCTCCGCTAATTCAGATTTAAAAGAAAGTACTCTGTCCTCGTGCGATTTTTCATCTGGAACTCACCTGAATGACAATGACATCAGCAGCTGCAGTTATGTGGGTCGCTCTCTCCACAAGCTAAAGTGGTCCCGTGCCCCATTTTGCTGGGGATCCTCCTTTCTGAGAAGCGCTGCCCAGCCTGGGTCCTATTTAAAGATCAAGCTCCATGAGAAAGGAGAGTGAAGGAGCCTGGATGTTGCTCAGAGGCAGCTCCGGGATTTTCTCGTCCAAGCAGCCAGAAAATAAATTTCCACCAATTTCCCCCCAAACTTTTCTTGCTCGCTCGCTCAGTCGTTTCAGTTGCTTCCACCTGTTCTAATTTCTGCTCCAGTGGCGCCATCATTGCAGTGACTCAAGCACGTGAGAGCTGTGCCAAAGGTTGCCCAGCGTTGTGTCCACACAGGGACCACCTAGTTGCTCCAATGGCGAAGCCCCCCAAGCAACAGCCCATCCCTGCCCATGTTCCCCAGCAAGTGGTGTTGATGGGCAGCCTGCCTCTGATCGTAGAGGGAGCAGAGGGCCATCAAAGCTCGTAGTCACGGATCGCCTTCTCTTCCATGAATTCATGACATCCAAATGGAGGCCCACCACTAGATCTTCTGGAAGTGAGATCCAAGGATCAGCTCTGCACATTGTGAAGAAAGTCCTCTGCTCTGGCTTGAATCTCCCACCCACCAGCTTCATGGGATGCCTCTGGGCTCTGGCATTATGGGAAAGGGAGAAAAACATCCCCCCGTATTCTCCACCCTGGCACAACACTTCCATCAGCTCTCTTGCTTGCCCCTTTTCTAAGTTAAACCATCCCAGCTGTTGTGACCTTTCCTTAGAGGGGAAGTGCCTCTTTCTGCACTTTCCTTTTTTTTTTTTTAATACGTTTTATTTGAGAAATTATAATCCTAAAAAAACAAAAAGAAACTACAAACAACATCCGTCATCAAAAACATCGAACCCGCTGGGTCAGCCCCCACACCCTTCTTTTTCCATTTATGATAACTTAAAAACATATTTAAATCTATGCGAAGTCCCATTTCTCTAGCCAATGATAAAAAGAGTCCCAAGTTTGATAGAAGTCAGTATCTTCCTTCTCCTTCAATAATAAAGTCAATCTATCCATTTCTGCACAGTCTAGGATCTTTTTTAGAATCAGTTCATCGGTGGGTAGTTCTTCACTTTTCCAGTGTTGAGCGCATGCAATCCTTGCCACAGTGATTACATGTAATTTCTGCGCTTTTCCAAAGAGTCAAGAACATAAGGTGAATTCTCCTTTGCTCCAGTCCCATGGGC